TATATATATATATATATATATATATATATATATATATATATATTATAGACACTTTTGTTATGACTGACAAACACATGAAAATTACATTCAGGTACTAAAGTGACTCCCAGCTGCAGCTATCCTGCACACAGCATCCAGAGAATGGTCTCCTCTTCTTCAGAGGAGCACAGCGAGTCGTCCTGACTCATTCTGAGTGAAGCAGAAGTGCAGCTCCCATGCAGAGGTCTCTTCTGAGCCTTCATTAAGAAAACTCACTACAACTCCCACCTAATCTTTTCTCACCACCACACCTTCTTCCACAGCTCTCATCCATCCCACAACAGTATCAGATCAGTGCTCCCCTCTCAGATGTTCTTCCCTAACATGACTGACACTAAAATGATTTGAGGACTGAGTTTTCCGTCTCTTTGTTAAATGTGCTTTCTTTTAGAAAGGCTTTGTCACGTGCCTGATATCTATTGACAATCTAAAATTATAACATCTATTTTAAATATCCAGGGTGTGCACAGAATCAGTGTAACGCTGCTAATAGATGAAAGTAGATTAAATTAGTGTTATCTGTGCCACTCTCTTTCTTCCATCTTCTTTTTATGTGTAAAGAGATGTGCAGTGAGCCACATGGGAGCTAATGAGCTGATGCAACCAGTACACACTATGGAGTTAACGTGACAACAAAATGCAGCAACAACATATCAGATTAGGGATGTCTTCATTTATAAAGAACTCTGCAGTTATGAACTGTTATTGAATAAATAACATCTTATAGTTAACTCTTTTATTGAAGAAATAGAGTTTACTGTAATTCTGAGCAGCTTAACGAGCTAACTGCTAGTATGAGTGAGAACGCCGTTCTCAAAGTTTATAATAATAATTATAATAATTCTTTATTTCATTTCAAACAGTTAACATTTTCAACAAAACCATGAACAAATAAAAACATAAATATTACCACCAAAATATTCTGGAAACAAAACAAAAATGTTCAAAAAGGGAGCAGGAAGAAGCAATGGCTTATCCAGTCCTGTCACTAAATTTACATACAAATTCTGAACCAAACCGGTTTCGTTAAAAAAAAAATCAAGAACACAAAAACACAAAGTGTAGACAAAAAAAAAAGTGTCGGTAGAAGCACGAGCTTATTATACCTTCACTTTGTTATACATGAAAATCAAAGCAGCAGATTTTTTCCTATATAATTTTCTAAAACATATCAAGGAATTCCAGCTAAGTTGATCGACAAGCTCATAAAAAACAACACACAAAAAAAGAAAAGAGACAAAAAGAAAAATAAAACAATCCAAACCTTATTATATTTGTTTAGTAAATGGTTTTTTTTTTACATTTTTTTGTTTAAAGAGTGAAAAACAACTATTCCACACCTGAATCCCTTTGTTTTTAATATTTGTCCTAACCTTTTTTTTTTTAATAAATCCTTCTCTCTTAACTCAAAGTTTTTCTCTTTAATTTTGAACCACTATTGTATACACTTTGGAAGGAGTTTAGTATAGGCTTTGTACATAATCAGCGCTGTTCTGAGCTCTACTAAGTCATAATTTTTTTAAAATATGCAATGTAAGAAATATGTCATTTGTTGGATGAAAATAATCGGACGCAGTTATAATTCAAATAGCTTTCATCTGGAGCATGTAGACCGGTTTTGTGTTGGTTTTATACGAGTTTCCCCAGATCTCAACACAATTATTCATGTATGGATGTATGAAACAACAGTATTTTTTTCAGTATTGCAATAGTTTTTGACATTTTAGCTTTTACATTATCAATATGAGCTTTCCACTGCAATTTGTAATCAAGTATCACCCCCAAAAATCTGATTTCATACACTCGCTCTATTTTGATACTGTTTACCATGAGTTTTACATTATTTTTTATTTTCTTGTTACTAAATATTACTAATTTTGTTTTATCATAATTTAGTGATAATTTATTTTTGTCACACCATTTCTTTAATACTTGTAATTCTCCTTCCATTTTACCAAGAACCTGCTCAGGTTCATAGTGGTCATAAACATTTACACTGCTAGTTTCCCATTATGCTGATTATCACATAAAAATCTGTTTAAATATTTGTCAGCTCAAATAACAGCAGCAGATAGCTGTAGCACTTGCAGCAGGAATATCACATGAAATGTCAGTCTGATGCAGTCGGTTCATTTTGGTATTTGCTCCGCTCAGATTAGCTGTTAGCTCGTCACACTAGCTCTGTCTCTCCAAACTGAGACAGCAGGTAAGATATTTATTGCTTATAACTTTACCATATAACAACATTTCAAAGGATCTGAGCTATCCCTTTAAGTATCAAAGTAACAATATTAATAAGATGTTGCTTTTGGAACGATGCAAACCAGCAAGGCCCAGCTCACCTGTAAAAGTAGGAGCAGCCTCGCACCGTGTTGTGGCTGAAATACTCCTGTGTCTTCTCGTTGCCGAAGTCCTCCAGAGGATCCGACCACAGCAGGTCACACATGGGCCCGAACGCCGGCGGCTCCTTGAACCGATCCAACTTTAATCCGAAGAGGCAGAATTTAAGCGTGAGAACAGAGCATGGACAAAACGCTGCTAAAAGCGGGACGCTCTTACCTTTTTAATGTCGTCTAAGGTGTGTATTTCAGGTGAGAGGCCACCGTGGACACACAGGAACTGCTGGTTCATGAGTGCAGCCAGAGGAAGGCAGTCAAATGCATCCATGCATGAGTCATACACCTGCTCTGAGTACTTGATTTTACCTGATGAGAGAAGGAAATACAGCTTTTATGTTTGCAAACAGAAATAATTCTGACTTCTTATTTTAAGCAACAGTTCAGATATAACAACAAAACATCTGCAAAACGATGTTTACAAGTTCAACATGTCAAATGGGTCATTGGCGATGTGACTGATATTCGACTATTCGCAGACAGTTTTAGCTTTTTCTACTTGCACACGTTCAACTTGACGACCAAGGCTCTCCTGCAGAAGTGCTCCAGGCTACACATGACTCCACCATGACAGGAAGAAAAGAATAATATATAAAAATAAAATAAATTAAAAAATCTGCTGGAGTACTCACATTCTTGTTTGAAGGTGAAATATTCTGTCAAATGTCTACATTCATGATTTCCACGAAGTAAAAATAGAGTCTTTGGATAGAGGATTTTCAGCGACCAAAGGTATAAAACACACTGTCAGAACGAACACACACAGGGTTAGTTGTTAGAGCGACCAGTGATGCATGTTTCCTGTTGACTTTCCTCTTCACGTGCACAGAGGATGACCTCACCTCGATACTGAAGTAGCCACGGTCGACGTAGTCCCCGAGAAACAGGTACCGCGTTGTGGCCGGCGATCCTCCCACTTCAAACAGCTTCATTAGGTCAAAGAACTGCCCATGGATGTCCCCACAGACTAGAAGGCAACCAGAGGACAACACATCTACTGAGAAATAGCTCTTTGAACACCTTGGTTTATAGGCTGAGGTGTTTTCTGCGTAAGTATGAACCTCAGTGTTTTAGATATAAGCGCTGCGTTCAAGCTTTAGTCGTGCTTATTTTCCATTCAGAACATTTTCACAGCCTCAGTCACAACTCTAATGAAAGAAGGATGGTGTGTTTGTGAACATAGCATTAAGTCAAGAGTTTTAATGTAGACAAAAAATGTCTGTTTGAACAAGCGTTGCATCAAAGTTTTGGAAATGAGTGTTTTTCTGGACTGGAATTGAACAGGGAATTAAGTAGACCTTAATGTTTTGGGATCAAAGTATGCAAGTGGGGAGTAGTTACACAGTGGAGATAAACAGAGGGAGATTTTTGTCCCCCCCCTTGCAGAGCAAAGAAGTGGGTCTGGAAATGCAATCTGTTCATCCACCTGTTCTTTCGTCCATCTGTGCATGTTGTGAGAGTGATAACTTGTGGAAAATAAAAATAAAAAAACAAGTGATGTAGCAACTTCCTTTATGGTTTGGCATCTAGGCAAGGTTACTTTCAAAAATTGGGAAGCCAAGTTGAAAAATAAGCAAAGTGCCAACTTTAACTTTGTTGCGTGGCTGAATCTAGGTGAAAGACAGGTGGCCATGAGGTTGCCAAGTCAATATCCAAGATGGCCACCACCCTATATACAGTAAGGTAGTCCCTCGTTTATCGCGGGCGATCTGTATCCTGAAGACGCCCAATAAGTGAAAAACCGCAAAGTAGGAATAGTAGTACAAGTAGTAAGTAGTAGTTTATTTTAGTATTTATATAGAGAGAGATATTAAGGCATTTTAAACCCTTCCCACACTCTTGCAATATTCTAAACATTGTTTCTAAACTCGAAACGCTCTAAAAGAGCACAGAATGTCATGATTTCAGCTCTCTGCCTCTGCTGCTCTCAACCACCTGCAAGCGCTCTTGGCCACGCCCACTTCCATGTTCTGCACGTAGAACAGCTGATCAGCTGCAGCAGGAAGCTTATCCTGCAGTGTGGGCTGCACAAAGATGCAGCAGGTGCTAAATCATTTAAAATAATTTATTTGAAATAAAAATTCTAGGCTGATCGTGCGGCTCATCCATCAGTCAGCCAACCAATTTTATTTTTAAAAACTGTGATAGAGCGAATTCATGATAAACGCACTGCGAAGTAGCGACGGACTACTGTATATGTAAACCAGCCGCCCCATCATGTAAGGAAACCACACTTCCTAGTTTTTATATTGCTTAAAAGTAGTGTTTCCTTAAATGATTAGGATGGCTGAAGATTACTCTATGGAGGCTAAGGCCGCTGCTGGCATGTTTTTGGACTGTGGGAGGAAACCAAAGGACCTGGAGAAAACCCACGCGTGCACGGGGAGAGGATGTAAACACCACACAGAAAGGCCCCAGCCTGGAGTCGAGCTCAACTGCTCAGTGGTGCAGCTGATATTTGGAAATGCTGACCTATCAAGCAATATGTATTTAAAACACAGTTTAAAACTCAAACTGTATTTCTGACATGTTGATGTAAAAAAAAAAAATAAAAGCATTAAAACGTGTTTCTGTTTACCATTCCAAACTATCAAACACTTTTTTAGCAAAGAGACTTCGACATGAACGATCCTTAAAGTACTTTACCGGAACCTTGAAAGCATGACATATTTTCCGTCCGTCTCTGTTAAACTTTTCATGCTCATGTCACAGCAACACAAGAAAAATGATTCTTTTATCCATCCTCTAAAGACATCTGCAGTGATGTAAAATATGCCCTTTTTATTTTCTGCTCGGTTTTTCAATGACACGAACTGCCAACAAATAAAAAAACAATACCACTGGTGAAAGTGTTGTGTCGTGCGGATTGTCTTTCACATACAGTACATGTTGAAGCTGATGTATACAACAACATCTGCACCAGTTACATCAGAAAATACTTGAAGTGTTACGCTGGCAACATGGCGGAGCATTGCGGCCATGTTGTTAGTAAACACATCAAGAATAAATGATTCTGTTGGCAACAACATGCTTATTAACAAAACAAGAGTTGTTTTTTACAAGAATACATTGGAGTTTTAATTTGAACCCACCGTACTACAATTAATGCAAAACTAGTATGAGCTGCATTTGAGGGTCTAGAAGTAAAGAGATATTTATCTGAGCTTTGGCTGGAAGGCCTCGCTTCTCAGCTGCTTTCGTCTTGGAGGGGTGGAAGAATCTTGAAACCCCCGGGGGGGGGGGGGGGGGGGGGGGGGGAATGTACTTTTTTATGGTGAACACCCCAGCTCTGGAGTGCCAACCTACATCTCATTTCCTCACTGCCTTCAATTTTTTATTATCATCTCGCTCTTTCTGGTTCTCTCCTGCTCCTCCTCCATCTCCGCTCGCTTCTCCGTCTTCTCCATCAGCTCCACAGTGGCCTTCGCCCACTCGAAGCTTAGAGCGATGTGTGTGGGAGACTGCCTATGACTAAAGCAATCAAACGCACACATGCACACACAGACACGGGATGCGTACACATACGCCCAACAACGCATGCATGCAAGCTGCACTCAAATTCCTACAGCTCATAAAAACACTAACACAACAAAACTGATGCCCGTACACAACATGAAGATGAAGGCACGAGGCCTTCATCTAAATGAGACTGAAACATCAGCTGAAGGTAAAGGGACAGTTCAGATCTTTTTAAGAGGGTTTCTGTGGAAAGGTCACAAACTATTATTTGTTGTAGAAAGCTCTTTGAAGGATCTCAGTTTGGAGAAACGGAGCTGAATTCTGAGCAGATTGATGAGCTAACAGCTAGCTCGAGCAGGGACAAGATTGAAGCTGCCTTAGTTCACGTGAACACTATTTAATAAACCTTTGCACCACAGTCTGTTTAGCATTACTTGGTTATTGCAGAAAATAAATCATAATAGTCCTGCTTAAAATGTCCCTGGCTACATCAGATGTGCTACAGCTAGCTGCTGCTGCTATTTGCCCTGTTTCAAAATCCATGGGATAATATGTAAATAATTGTAATGGAAAAACTAACAGAAATGTAAAGTTTATAACTTACGACAGAGCATTAGGGCCACGCAAAAAAAAAAAAAAAAAAAATTAAAAGCCACAAAATTACGAGAACTAAGTCCTACTATTACGAGAATAAAGTCATACGAGACTTTTGTTTATTACAGCTCTCGTTGATTTTATTTTTGCCGCCCACGAATCAGATCCACGATGCAACCTGTCAATCAATCCAGTAGGCGTGTCAGCAAAAGACCAATTCGAAGCTAAATGCTCCGTACCTGCAGAGAGCTGCTGCAGCCCATCACAGCGTACCACCTTACTGTAAGCAGGTTCAAAGTCCTGGTACTGATAATAAACTGATGCTGATGTGCTAACAGATTAACTACCTCCATATTTGTAAAACCAATACCAAAATGTGACTTAACAAGATGCTCAACATTCTTCATTTGACCACAGTTAAAATGTGGTAAACCTGCTTTATCATGTTGTAGTTCGGATAATATCACGAGTCATTTAGCTTCGGATTGGTCATTTGCTGACACACCTACTGCATTGATTGACAGGTCGCATTGTGGATTCGACATGTAGAAAAGAAAAAAAAACACGAGAGCTGGAAAAAAAAGTCTCGTACAACTTTATTCTCATAATTTTATGACTTTTAATTTTTTTTTTTAGTGTGGCAATGTAATTTTTTTTTTCTGAGCGTGGTCCTAAAGTTCTGTCGTAATAACTAGTATTTACATGAACCACTAAAAAATTATTCAGACCGAAGTTGTTTTAATGCGTCGATGATCCACTTTGGCACTGTTTGGACTAGCTGCTACCTCATCATTCTAGTCAGAATGTTCAGCTGTTTACAGCAGGTTAGTTGGTTAGGTTTTATTCTTTCTGATCTTTTATGGTTTTCATATGCTTTTTATTTTATTTTTATCAGAGCACCCCACCATGTTATGATCATTAGCACCTTACTGCACATCTTAATTCTAACTGACTGATACTAGTAGACAACTAAGCTAATGTTTGAAAACTCTGGAACCTAAAATAAAATATATTAAATACTAATCCATTTTTTCAGTCTAGTCAAGTAGAAGAATTGGAGGAAAAACTTATAAACCTTGACATACTGTTATATACGTACATGTTTTAATGCTAAATCCGTTAGCATTCCTTTAAAATCAGATTTATAGCAAGAGCAGTAAAGTAAAGTTTAAAATGTGCTCTTTATTGGGTTTGAATTTGTTTTCATTTTCATTTTTATAAGAAGAAAATAGCAGGTGATAAACTATTCTCAAAGGTCGGTGGCTAATTTTTATTTATTTATTGCTAACGCTAACACAGAAACGCTTAGATTTACCTGAAAAAGAACTTTCACTTCACCCCATAATGCCAACAGGACAAGAGTTCATTGTCAACACAATCATTCACACTTGTATAGTTTTGTGGTTGTTACACAGAACAAAAGACATTCACCTCAAACCTTTACAGTCCACCACTGCTAATGTTCATTTGGACGTATTGTTAATTTTTATTTATTTATTTATTTCGGCTGCTCCCTTCTTCAGCAAACTAATTCGCACGAAGACTTGGAGATTGTTTTTACGCTGGATGCCCTTCCTGCACAGACCACCGAGCTACCACAGCCCTCGGTGTGGAGCAGAGAGCTGCTATGGATGCTCAGGGGAGCAGATGGTGGGGGTTAAGGGCCTTGCTCAAGGAGCCAGAGAGGAGCAAATGAAGGTGGAGGCAGGTGTGGGTGTGTCACCTATCCCACCTACATTTTGATGTTGTCGGTACCGGTAGTTGAACCGGTGACCTTCCAATCACAGGCCCACCTTCTCTAACCTCTGCGCCACCACTCCCCACTGTTAAATTATTGACTTTGTTAATAGTTTGTTAAATTATTGACTTAGTTTCCTCATAATTTTCCTTTGATAGTTACATGAAAATTTTACAAAAACAAACAAGTGTGTGACCGAGTTGTTTAAAAACATTAGATGTATTTATGCTAATAAACGTATCCCATTCGGTTCATAGTTGAGCCTAAAATTAATTGTCCAAGATGAGGTAGTAAAATCTAACAGACACTGTCGTGTATCCAGGGAACAAACATTGTTCAAAATCAAAAATAACTGGACTTCTACTCTGAAGATGAAGACATTTCATTCCCATCCGGGAAGCTTTATCAGTTCAAAAACATCTGGAGTGTGAGGAGTTCCAGACATTTTTGAACTGATAAAGCCTCTCGGATGGGAATGAACTGTCTTCTCCTTCAGGGTGGAAGTCCAGTTGTTTTTGATTTTTAACATTTTTTTGGATTGACCATGACCTGGATGACTGAGGATCTTAACCAACAAACATTATCGTTACAAAAAGGATTGAAAAAAACAACAACAAAAAAAAAACACTGCAACAGATCCTCTACTTCTTTCTAGCATACTCTAAGAGTAGAAAAATAACAAAAATGTCTGCCTTCCATTTAAAGTAGTCAGCGCCAATCACAATCCCCACACCAGCCAACATGATCAGATAACTTCACTTGTGCTTTTCCTGCTTTGACAGATAAAAGTTTCATCTGTGAAAAGGATCAAATGTTGACTTTCTTAGTTTTTCCACATTCGGTTCTCTTTTCAGGGGCAGTCAAACATCTGGAAATCGTTTGGATACATGTGACTAGGCCTGTCACGATAAAAAATTTTGCTGGGCGATTAATTGTCTCAGAAATTATTGCAATAAACAATCATATTGTTGCCCTGTGATGGACCTGCGACCTGTCCAGGGTGTACCCCGCCCCTCGCACGGTGATTGCTGGACATGGGCACAGGCGACCCCCATGACCCACAAATGGAAGAAGCGGGTCAAAGATAATGGATGGATGGATTTTGCTGGGTGATTAATTGTCTCAGGAATTATTGCGATAAACGATAATATTGTTTGAAATTTGACAATAATTAGTCCATCCATCCATTAACTTTACCCGCTTTTTCCATTTTGGGTCACGGGGGTCGCTGGTGCCCATGTCCAGCAATCACTGTGCGAGGGGCGGGGTACACCCTGGATGGGTCGCAAGTCCATCACAGGGACACATAGAGACAAACGAGACAAACAACCATTCACTCTCTCATTCACACCTAGGGACACTTTAGAGTTACCAATCAGCTTAACATGCATGTTTTTGGTTTGTGGGAGGAAACCGGAGTACCCGAAGAAAACCCCCGCATGCACGGAGAGAACATGCAAACTCCACCCAGAAAGGCCCCTGGACCGGGGTTTGAACCAAGGACCTGCTCGCTGAGAGGCAGCAGCTCTACCAGTTGCGCCACCGTGCTGCCCCACAATAATTAGTCATTATTGTTAAATTTGCGAAGAAATTTTGGTTAATTTGTTTTGCGTTTAGTACCTTTTTTCCACCACCGAATGGCAGTATAAGACTGTTTGAACCAAAGGATGGATGTGAGGGAGCGAGCAGCATGTCTCTTTAAGAAAAATGGGAAGGAGGCTCCTTGACGTGACATGGGCTGTCTCTCCTTCCTTTTTTTCGGTTCTCAAAACGGTGGACGCTCGGTGTGGTTTGAGCTCTTTAGCATAGCATTTTTCACTCAAAGCTTTTAATAAGAAATCATTAAACAAGTTCTCATCTTCTTTTTGCAGAGAAAAACAGCTTTTTACATGAAGGCACATGTTTCAACCATGAATTTTGGAGCTTCGACAAGACAGGTTTTTTTCCTGAGGTTGGCCTGTTAGCTTAGCTCGTAGCTTAGCTTCTCAGCTTAGCTACTTTTAATGATCCAAAAACACAATTTTGGACAGTTAAAACAGCTTTTAAAGAAAAAAGAAAAAGGGAGGGGTCAGTGAAGAGCACCGGACTTGAGCCTTTTGTTATCCAGTGTCTTCAGTAGAAAGAGAGAGACACAAAGAAACAATAAAGACGATAAATGAAAATAAGGTTGATAATTTTAATTTATCATGCGATTAATTGATTTATTGTTTATTGCGACAGGCCTACCTGTGACTGGAGCCTCGATGTCGAGGATGGTCTTCTCTTGGCGGAGGATGGCGGCGCCCTCATTGATGATCCGAAGCGCCACGGCTTCCTCCACGCGGCCCTCCTTGGTCAGGTGGGCCTTCAGGAGGTCCACGCGAGGTTTGCCTTCACAGTCGAATACTTCCTTCATGGTGAGGCGGTGGCTCAAGGGGAAGGGGACAGCTGAGGACAGAGCACATACGGGCACTTTATGGCATCTGAGTGCTAAGAAACACAGAAACAATAGCTCCTCGTATTCCACGACATACAAACGCCCCATTATTAACAGGTCTGTTGCTTAATATTAATTATTCCAGTACAGACGTGCATCTTGATCATTCCTGAGAGCTGCATGAAACATTTAAATAACCTGTTCTCTCTTCCTGGATTGCTGAAACGCGTGGCCATTAAAATGCATCAGTCACCTACCCACCAGACAGCCTGTGAAGCTGTGAAATCCAACCACAGATCATTCCTTCAGCAGTGGCAGCAGAAAGATTTATTTTATTTTAAATCTGGGGCTGATCTCTGGGTGCTGTGACTACGAGCTCTGGGCATCGTGGGCCGACGTTAATCGAGATCATCTGGATTAACACAGAAAACTCTTTCTAAGTGTCTGTGCTATGAATAATTCACATAAAGGGAAGATTATGCCCACTGAAGTCCAGTTGCATCTGTTTAAACGCACGGACAGCACAAGTCAGCAGCAGCATGGCAGTGAGCTTGCCAGATTTCTGCAGCGCCAAATGAAGAGAAAAGGAGGAACGAGCCTCTGAGCTGGGCCTTAAACGCAACATGATCAAGAAGGTCTTTAATAATGGATGCTAAACTCCAGAAATCTCAAAGATGCTACTCCTGGGATAATGAGGCAAGCCCCAGCAAGTGCAGCTAATGGCACAAAGATTTTTCACAGTGTGCAGCGTGTATCTGTGATGGCGACGTGTGCTTTGACACTTAACCAGCGAGAACAAACTCAGCACCGTCGGACAACTGCACGCAGGAAGTCCACGATCTGACGAGGGACCCTGAGTCTCCCGTGTCTGGAGTCCATAACTGACGGTTAAACCAGAGTTTGAGCTGATTTACATTATTATTGGTGTTTGCAGGGAATAACACTAGCAAAAACAATTATAGTTGAGTATAACTGAAAGGCAAAATACCTGGAGCCATATTTAACTAAATGTACTCAGAGGTTTGTGTTGTAAATTTTAGCTTCTACTGAAATATTTATGATTTCAAATGGACTCTAGTTTCTTTTTTGTATATTTTTTTGTGTAAAATATTACATTCATTCTGGTATTTCGCTTTTTTTAATCTGCTAGAATTAATTTTGTGTGTGTTTTTAAAAGCGTAGCTAAAAAAATGTTAGAAGAAAAACAAAATTAAAGCAATACATTTGATCTTTTAAAGTGAGGATCTGTGGAAAAGATACTAACAATTAATTAAGTAATATCCTACCTGCTGTAAATTGCTTTTTGTATAACTTACGTTTGGAGAATTAAGAGTTTACAGTAATTCTGCTTGGACTATTGAGCCAATGGCTAGTCTGAGTGGTGGATAAAAGCATTTTCAAATGTTTCATAGGTATTTATATGAAGAAAAAAAAACAGCTAAATATCACAGTGGATTTCATATTACAAGGTTATTTACATGTAATTATAGTTATTTACAAATGCAAATAGCAGCAGCAGCTAGCTGTACATACATGTCCTTGAAACTTCTTGTAGAGTTCTTGAACGATGCCAGGCATCCATTTAATCATTGGTTCTACTCAGACTGCCCTTTATCTACCAATCTGATCAGAATTAAACTCAATTTCTCCCATTTCAAATTGTTCCAAGTCCTATCTACAACAGGTAAGATGTTAATTGTTCACATTCTCATAGTCTCAAAAAGCCCCACTTGAAAAATGTTGAACCATCTCTTTAAATCTAATATTGTCATTATAATCATGATGTCTGATTGTTTGACTTTGTTAATTTACATTTATTATTACAGGTGGCCATGTTGTGTAAGAAGTAAATATAATTAAATATCAGTAATATTATCCAACATTATCATGTTCCGTTGTTTTCCTTATTTATTGTATGATTTGTGTCATTTTAGCCGTTCATTTATCAAAATATTCAGCTCATTCTGGAGATGGTGCTGTGACTCGATTTTTTAAACATGTATACTTTTCAACATATTTACCTTTTTTTTCCAAGCGCTTTCCTCAGAAAAATAAATTGAGATTTGTTCAATTTTTTCTTAAGCTACTTTTAGTTTTCAACTACAGTTCTGCTGTTTTTAGCTTTTAGCTGTGCTTTGGCAAATTTTGGTGATGGACCGACTAACAGATGAGGTCAGGCAGGATGGAGTGGATGGAGAAAAGTTTCAGGAGTGATTTGCAAAAAAAAAAAGGTAGCAGCAAAGGTCAAAAGAAAAGTTTACAAGACAGTGGTGAAACCAGCTATGTTGTATGGTCTGGAGACAGAGACATGGACAAAAAGACAGGAGAAGAACTGGAAGTGGCAGAAATGAAGATGTTGAGGTTCTGCTGAGGAGTGACAAGGATGGATAAGATTAGGAATGAGATCATCAGAGGTACAGCACAGGTTGAACAACTGGGAGATAAAGTTAGAGAGACCAGGCTGAGATGGTTTGGACATGTCTGGAGGAGGGACAGTGGGTATATTGGTAGAAGGATGTTAGAAATGCAGCTGCCAGGAAGAAGACAAAGAGGAGATATATGGATGCAGTTAGAGAGGACATGGAGGTAGTTGGAGTGAGGACAGAGGAGGATGACTCGCCATGGTGACCAAGAGGGAAAAGCCAAAAGAAGAAGAAGAATAACAACAACATTACGGTACTTTTAGCTAATCTTTTGTGATTTTTAGAGTCAAACTAGCCTGTTGATACTTGTAGCAAATATTTAGCTATTTTAGCTAGTATTTTACTGTTAGTATTACTGTTAGCTTCTAGGTAGCATTTTGTTAAAGTTAGCTTTTGGGGTGTTTTTTTTTTTTTTTTTTACATATTTTAACTAGTATATTTTAGCTAATATTTTGTTTTTTAATGATTTTTATTTAAAAGTTCTATTACTGTTAATTTCTAGCTAACCTTTTGAAGATACTTTTACTCTTTAGCTAGGATTTTGCTATTTTAAGTTAGTATTTAGAAACGTTTAGCTAGTGCTTTGCTACTTTCACCTTTCTATTTTTAGCTACATCTTTTTAACTTGTGGCGAGCCTTTTTCTGCATTTAACTTTTAACAAACCTTTTACTACATTTCACATTTAGCTAGCCTTTTGCTACTTTTAGCTTCTATACTATTTTGCTGTTTGAAACTTTTAGCTAGCATTTTACTTTTTTTTAGCCAGCTCAGCTTGTGTTCTGCTTCTTACTTTAACAACTCAGTCTTAGTCATCCACGCTGTAATCTCACAGAAAACATGCCTTTGTTTGTTTCTTCAGTCACTTGTTTTTACAAGCTAATTGTAATCTGTGAATTTCAAAGGTAATCCTCTTTAAATACGGTATCCAACCCCAATAGGAACATGTGATGCTAAGCTAAAGATCTTCTACACGTTTTACAGAAACACACAGGATGACACACATGCAGCACTGATGTAGATTTATGGTGCAGAGATGAAGAGCTGACTTCTGCTCAGCACCGGAGCACAGCCGAACTCTGAAATACTGTACGTTGCTGAGCAACAGCAGCAGGAACAGCAGCTGACTGTTGGAGTGCAGCCAGCGGCGCGCCACAAAACTGCAAATTGCACTGGAGGTTTATGCAGATACAGTAATGTGCTGCTCATGCAGTCGGCAAGATAAATTGTCAAATCACCTCTCAGTATGGTTCACGGTGTATTTTTTTATACACACATCTCCCCAGGACAGAGTTTCACTCCGAAACGTGAAACAAATGGCGGCGTTGCTAATAGAAATGTGACGTTCAGGAATGATCCAATTTTTTTTCGACGGCTCATTAAAGCAATGCGAACCAAGTCATTCTTTCTTTTTTCCTGGTGTTTCACACAGCTGCAGACACACACACACACATGCTCCTGTGCTGTTCTAATGAGATGAAGAACGGGCGGAGCGCAGGACCGCAGACATGACTGGCGAACCCGGGCTCAGGAAGGGATGGAGAGAAGTTGTGCATTTGATAAGCGTACATGGCCGCTGCAGTACGGCCGTACGAATAGGCTTGTCACGATAACAAATTTTGCTGGGCGATTAATCGTCTCAGAAATTATTGCAATAAACGATAATATTGTTTGAAATTTGACAATAATTAGTAATTATGGTCAATTTTAAGAAAAAAGAAACTGTCCAGATGACTTGACTGAGCATTATTGAATGTGGTACCTGGATGATTGAGCATGAACTTAGTTGCCTTGAACCACTTTGGCTGTGGCTGCCTGCCTGGGAGGAGTCGACGGGGGACAGGACAGCCCCCAGAAACCATCTTATCGCCAGCAAACTGGTTGACCCACTTAAGGAGTTTACTGCTTGGTTGGAAAACAGTTTACCTGGAACTCCTCAGACTGATGAAGCCCTCTGGATAGAGGGTGAAACGTCTCTGGAAAAAAAGAAACTGTCCAGATGACCTGACTGAGCATTATTGGTGTTGGTTAATTTGCTTTGAGTGTAGTATCTTTGTTTGACCACCGGATGGCAGTATAAGACTGTTTAAACCGAAGAGGGAGCGAGTAGCGTGTCTCTTTAAGAAAAATGGGAGGGAGGCCCCTTGACCTGACATGGGCTGTCTCTTGTTCCTGTTTTTCAGTTCTCAAAATGGTGGACGCTCATGTGGTTTGAGCTCTTTAGCATAGCACTTTTCACACAAAGCTTTTAATAAAACATCAGTAAACAAGTTCTCAGCTTCTTTTTGCAAAGACAAACTTTTTAGACGAAGGCACAGGCTTCAACTGTGAGTTTTGGAGCTTTGATAAGACGGAGGTTTTTTCCCTGAGGTCAGCCTGTTAGCCTAGCTCGTAGCTTAGCTTCTCAGCTTAGCTGCTTTTAACGATCCAAAAACACGATTTTGGATGGTTAAAACAGATTTTAAAGAGAAAGGGAGGGGTCAGTGAAGAGTACTGGAGTTGAGCCTTTTGTCATGCAGGTTCTTCAGTAGAAAGAGAGAGACACGAAGAAACAATAAAGCCGATAAATGAAAACGAGGTCGATAATTTTCATTTATCATGCGATTAATTGATGTATTGTTTATTGCGACAGGCCTATGCATGATTTGTATTGTTGTCACTATGTATGGACATACTGCATGACTCCCAGTTCAAAACACTGGCTTCTTTGAGCATTTTTTTTTTAAAGAATGGATCCTTAAGACCCGTCTCCTTTCAAAGAGCCATAAATCCCATCTCTAATAGCTCATGAGCAACCTTTGGTTCCTGAACAGCAACACTAGCTTCACCTGAACCGGACTGTGTTTTTCTAAAGACATACATGTCAAGCTTTTAACTTAAAGGCCACCAGAGTCCTTCTCCGCACTTCCATTTACTTGGATTAGTTTTATAAGCTGCAGCTGTTTGAACCTCCCGGCTGATTGCTGCCTGCCGCTGAAGGCAAACTGTAAAAATGTTTTTGAGTGTGCGGTCACTTCTTTGTAACATTAGCAAAGTGTTTCAAGAATCTCTGAACGTATTTTAATAAATCCCTCAGAAAATAATCACTGGATGTATCTACAGCTGTTTAGCAAAGATGGCCTCCACAGTCCACTGACCTCAGCACACAAAACCTGATATAAGTCAGCAAATCTTACAGATAATGAGCTGAAATTTGGAGTGGTGGTAGCTGAAAGTTTTTCAAAACAAGGACTCTAAGAGCTAACTGATTCTTACAGGTAAAACAATTTACATCAGATGGTGCATAACAGTATTTTCAAGGTTTGTCCAAAACATCTAGAACGCCATCGTTCTTCAATAAAAGACGATAGTTTAAAAACTAGCAGTGCTCCGATGTCTCTCTCGTCACAGAGGAATTAGAATAGTGAATGTTTGTAGTTTTAGAGATGAGTGTTTTTTCTGGACTGAAACTGAACAGGGAATATAAGTAAACCTTAATGTTTTTGATGTAAGTTTTTCAAGTGGGTAGAAGTTATGCTGTGGAGAAGAACAAGGACCCTGGAGAATAGAGGGAGACATTTTATCCAACATGAGGTGTAATGGAGGACCCAGAGGGTGGCCAAAGGTGGCCTTGGCATCTATAGATTAATCTTTGGCCACCCAAATCATTTGAGCAAACTATACTTTTAAGCAATATAAAAACTAGAAAGCATACTTTCCTTAAATGATAGGGGTGACCAGTTTATGGTGGTGGACATCTTGGATTATGACATGGCAACCCAATTTGATTTTGAAGTTTTTTTTTTACCCTAGATGCAGCCCCACACCAAAATTGGAGTCTACAGGTTGCTTATTTTTTAAGTTTTCCAGTTCACAGTATTTACATATAGACTTATATGGTGGTGGCCATAATGGTTTTTGATGCGGCCACCAAATTTTACAATAGTAACCTTTTTTACGCCTAGATGCAGCCACACACCAGGATGGAAGTTGGTACCTCACTTGTTTTTCAAGTTGTCATGCTCACAACATGCACGGACAGATGATGGGACCGAGGACATTTCCCTCTTCGCTCCGCAGCAGCGGGTGATATGAATTCTATCAATGAATGATGAATTTAATATTCAAATTGTCGTCAGATGGAAGTATTTAAAATTCCTACTGTGTCTTTAGAGGTGATGTTAGATCATACTTGGATAAAGGAAGGCTGGGCTGTCATAAAACCTGACATATAATATGTCAGGAGAAAGAAAGATCACTCACAGACAGATTTATTGCCTCGTTTCGTCCGGTGTTTACAGCACAGCGGTGACATAAAACAAACTCCACAGCCCAGCCGTTTTTAATGCTCTGTCTCAAACCTGCTAAAGCTTATAGGTTGGAGCTACATATAGGAAGAAAATAACTTATGCAGGTTCTGGGTGGACGTGGTGCACACAACAACTGCAGGAAACGTTTCAGCTTCAAAATCACCACTGTCTTCACATCCTCCTTTGATCACCTGATGGCTGCACTGCTCACTTTCTTAGACTTTTTTTTTTTGTATTTCATGCCTCTGGGGAGAGCAAAACAAAAAAAGATGTTTCAAAGAAGTATGAAAATAGAAAAGCAGATAAAAGTAACAAAAGAAGTAGCCACATGCCTGTCAAGGAATAAGGAGTTACGAGCAGCACATCTGGAGACGAGTGGACCTGTTTTCAGGAGGTTTGATGCTAACGAAGGAGGTTTCTAAAAGCCTGAGGTAGAACGATGAACAAGAATCCAACAAACGTAACGCGCAAGTGTTTTGAATTACAGACGTGTTGCAAAAGCAGAAAAACAGTCAGGATTCTTGGTTTTGTGCCGTTTTCTGACGTGAACTTTGCGCTTGATATTGTTTGAGTTAGCAGCTGTGTGATCTCCTATAAAAAACACTAAACATGAAATTACCTGTCTGTTAGCAAAATATCTCATGAACCGCTGGACAGATTTTAATGAAACTCTCAGAAAGTAATGAATGGATGCTCATCAACAACTGTTCAACTTTGGAACTCAACGCAATACAAGATGACCACCACACCCCAATGAATATATGAAACAATAACATGGCTAAACCTCAGCTGATTTTACAGACAACTGGCTAAAAGCTAATGTGGTAGTGGCTGAGTGTGAACCACAACACAACGCACAACACTTTTGCTCTGAACTTTGGCAACGACTATTGGCACAAACACTGTTTGTGTGTTAGCAAAATATATTGTGACACACTCACGCCCCCCAGATGTGCATCTACAACTGACCAACTTTTAGGATGCACTCAGTTTAAGATGGCTGTCACAGCGAATCATCTTAAAACACAAAAACAGCTAGAATTCGGTCAGTGGTAGCTGAGAGTCATCCTCATCACATGGTTCGAGCACTAACTGAAATGTTGAAATACAAGATGGTGGATGATATGCATCAAGAGATTAATTGTATTTTATTTGATATATCTGAACATTTAGGTAAGTGAGTGTATAGGACGGAGCGGCGGGTCTGGGATGAACTCGGCTGATTTTCTGTGCATGTTTGGACTTTGGGCCCTGAAACAATCCGTACCCCGTTTACTGTCACGTCACTTCTCCAGCTGTGGAGGTGAACGGATGGAAGTTGCTCATGCTGACTGGGCCCTGATGATGAAGAAGATGATGATGATGATAACACACTGACTGTGGGTTCTGATCCACGATGAATGAATGAGTGAATAAAATGGGGAGCATTTCATCCTCCTCTGATCAGTTCTTTATTGACCCTGTCTCTTTTTTCCCCTTTAATCAAATTAAAACATGACTCACTCCTGGTACCCCCCCCCCCCCCACACACACACACACACACACACACACACACATTAAAATGTCAATTTCATGCCCTCTTCCCCCTCAGCTGAAACCCATGAAATCCTGCTTCATCACTGCTCCTCTTCCTCCTCCACCTCTCCTGTCATGAAGTCTCGTTCTGGGGGCAAGTCCTGCGCCTTTACGCTGCTGCTGCTCTCTGAGGCCCCCTTTTCCACTGGTGGTGGTGGTGGGGGGGGGGGTTAGCTCAGCAGAGAAAACCGGATTGTTTATCAACATCAAAGCCCCTCGTTTCCCACTTCCATCAACACAACTTCCATCGCCGCATTTCCACCATCAACGCACGAGCAGACAATGGAGGCCACGTTCCACCGAAGCGCAGCAGCGGGGATGGGGGTGGGGGTGTGTGTTATGTAATCTACAGCCACAATAAAGAAGGGGGTGGGGGTGTATAAAAAACGTAGGCTGACTTACATTTGACCACCCGATCGGTGGGGTTTAAGACGGAGTCAGCGTTGGACATCTTCATGGGCAGCTGTCGTCTCCGAGGCTGAAGCGAGTTCCTCTCTCCGTCTCCCTCTCTCTCTCGCCCCCCCTCCCCCCCTCGCCGCTAGCTTTCGGATCAACTCTCTGGGTTTTTACTCCTCGTCGAAATGCGCCGGGTGCTGCTGTGGCATCACTCGGAGGACGCACGCTGCTCCCCGGGCAGGCGGAGGCTGAGCGGGATGCAGGGATGGATTGGTGCTGATGCTGGAGGAGCTGCTACTGCCGAGCTGCTCATGTGGGGGAGGATGAGCGGAGAGAGGGTGGGAGGGAGAGAGAGGGTGGTAGGGGAGGGGGGGGCACTATCCCGACATGGCGGTGGAGGGAACTCCCACGCAAATGTTTCACGGGACTTGCCTGATGCAGACATCAGATGGAGGAGTGTGGGTTGGGGGGCTGCCCCCACACGCACACGCCGCGCCACTTTTCCGTGTCCGGGATCTTGGGTATACCTGATGACGAGAGCGCGTGAAGCTCGGCTTGAACATTCATTTTTACTTATTTTGCAAACATTAGAGAAAGCAGTGTTTAAAAAAAAAACACTCTCTGGGAACAAAAACGATCAAAGCAATGTTGGACTTTTAAAAGGAACTGCTTTAAAGGAACATTCTGGTTATTTTGAAGTGAAGTCTGCAAATTAAAGGAATTGCAAAGTTTTGGAGAGAACAAAAATATTCATGAAGTAATGAATTTGATTTTAATTTTTTTTTTCTCATGCTGATCGTAAATTAAACATCAGAAAGCAAAATTAGTATGAGGATGCAACATGTGGTTGTTTACATACAGAAACAATTGACTGTGACCAGTGGCGGCTGGCCCACAGAGGGCGCTAGGGTGCCGCCCCACCACATTACCTTGAATAAGACATAAAAAGTTGAATAAAAATGAAATAATAAAATAAAAATATTTCACAATATATGTATATATATTTTTAGTTGTGTACGATAAATATTTTATAGTTAGTGATGAGTAAAATTGTTTTGTTTATCAACATTTTTGTCTGATTGATGATGTATTTCCGCCCAAGGGTGCAAAAATCTTTGCCCATAGACTCTCATTAAAAGTTGTACGTGCACAGTAGCTCCTCTTCCAATACATGAGATAGGAAGATTCTGGGCGCAACACTCCTGCACCTTGAGCTGAATGCATGGTTCGATTGTGCTTCCAGAACAGATTGTGCAGCGAAACTCACAACCAGGCTATGTATGAGAGAGACCAGGCTATGTGTGAGAAAGGCTAGGCTAGCTGCTGCAGGTAGGCTTTAAGCCATTGAAAGTCCTTTATCTAATGCCTATGTTGCCATATCTGACTGATATGCCTCTCAACCTTTAGATGTCTCTGTTTGTGAAAAAAACCTTCAGCTGACTGTATTCTAAAAGTGGGAACTGGTGAGTTTGTTTGTCAGTTTGTTTCTGGAGCTAGCATGTTAGCGCTAGCCTCCAGGTTATTGTATTGGCCTCTGTAATAACTCAGTATTGATACGTTTATTTGAATGTGCTTGAAGAAAAACAATTATCAAACATTAATGCTATTCTATATTAAATGTCACTGATGGTGTTATACTATTTCTGAATACCTGTATTTGTATTGACATGGATAATGAAAAATAAGCCTCTTGCAATAAGTAACTATCTCCTAGTGTTAATGTTGAAGCATTTAAATTGAAGACACATTGAAATGCTATTGCTATATGTGCTAAGGTGCAATATTAGGATATTTAATATTAGGAATATTTAAGAGTACTCAAATAATGAGCTTGATTCTATTTATATTATGAATTTATACAACTATAGTAATGAAGAACAAAAAAGGTTGAATCAGTCATCTGGACTTCGTTTTTTTGTTAAAAAGAAACGTTTCGCCCCTCATCCAAGAGGCTTCATCAGTCTGAGGCCTAGCCATCTGGTATTACCCAGAAGCCACCCTGACTCTTGTGTTTCAAGCCTGCCTCAGATACCCCTGAAGTCTGGCCTTTTCACTAATGGTTTCAAAAACACAAAGTTTGTTTTCTCAGTCATCCAGGTATATAACAACAAAAAAGGTTGAATCATGTCATCTG